ATATTCACTGGGAGAGACAGGGTGGAGCCCTGTCTTACCCAGGGTTCTTACCTGGAGCTGGAACCTGGTTCAATTTTAATACAAAACCTATCCATGCTCCATGTAAAGCTGAGCTCAAATGACACAGAAGCGTGTAGAGTGACAGAAAAAAACGAGGTCCCTTTCTTCCATCTTGCCCGCTAAGGATCGGATCTGTCGATGCTTTTGTGTGATTTTCCAGGTTTTTCTCTCCGGCACCTGCTTGTGTCCTTGTGGGAAGCAGTCTGGCCTCTGGTGGTCAGGGGTGAGGGCTGAAAACACTCGAAGGGCAGGTTCCTGGTCCAGCGCCTGTAACTTTGACAAACAACTTCACCAAGTCCAAATTCCCACTGATATAAAGTGGGAATCATAATGCCCACCACTCAAGGAGTTCTGAGGGTGAGAGGAGAAAAGCCATGTTGTAACTGCCAAATAAATGTCTCTATGTCATCTGATCTATACATAGACAGAGCATATGTTCATTTCTGGGTATGGAGACAGACATTGCTTGCTGCAGTAAAACCATAGACAGTTGCTCCTCCCTCTCCCTTCTTTGATTTGGCCATCTCTTCACGTTAGTAGCTAAGATTCTCTTACTCTCTAGGATGACTCCAGGTGACATTGTTGCATGGACATGAAGTCATTTATTTTCTCTGTTGCCTTGGAAAGCCCACTTCCTGGGGATCTTGCCCTCCATTCTTCCTCTGACAACAGAGGGGCAACCCTCATCCTCTGTGTGTCCCCGTGCTTTTCAGTGAGCAGGGGTCAGGTTGGGAAGGAGCCACAGGAGGCTGGGACCAACAATCCCCGAGAGAGAGCTTGCCACTGTCTGTTTTAATTCATTGAGGTTCCTGGCTGACGCTGTCTGGATTTGAGGGAAGGGATTCACGAAAGTGTACATTAAGGATTCTAAGATTTGTGTGTCACATAAACTACAGGGCAGGTATTGATTGATTTTCTTCCAAGAGTGTGGTGCATCGGCTTTTTTCCTGGACCAGAAATGGCTCCCTGTGGAGTGTTCTTGTTCATTCCAGGAGGAGGGTTGAGGTCCTTGATGGCTTTTTCGGGGTGGTGGCTTCCTGAGTGAGGGGCACTTGCCACTAGGAGGTGTTAAGAGACTCGGCGTTAAGTAACCATCCACATATTAAACGTTCTTCCTCTTCAGTTCCATTCAGTCCTGGGAGCCTCGGAGAGTGTCTCAGACTGGGGCTCACCCACCTCTGCAGCCATTTTCTCTTTCTTAACTTGCAATTTTCTCTTTCTTAATGGGGAGAATGGACCAGAGGCCCGGAGTTTTTCACAGCTGCAGTACCTCGGCAGACTGTAATAGTATTCATTGATTTTCAAGGTATTCCTTTTTTTTTCTACTGTTTTCTATTTGTGGCAAACTTCATTTTTTAAGTGTATTTATTTTGATTTGAAAGATGAGATAATTTGAAGAAAACTATGAAGTAAACAATGTGGTACAGGTGATATGTGGGTAGGGTGTGATTCACCTAGGGGTTTCCCAGATGATTTAAGTTTGACAAACATTGAACTAACATGTGAATAGCAAGGCTTTCCCTGAGAACAGGCTCAGAGGGTCGATGGGAAGCTATGGGCAAATGGGTGTGAGAATGCTGTCCACAGTTAGGTGGGAAAACTCCATCAATTTTATGCATTTTCTGGTAGTTGACCCTTTCTGCAGACTATCTGTTGAGGCGAGAGAAGTGGAAGGATGCATGGCAGGGCAGGTGGGTGGACCGGGCAGGTGACAGCGGCAGACAGACTTCTGGCTTTGCTGTCTTGTGGGAAACAGACTGGATAGGAAGAGGCTCACATTCTTCCTAGGGAGACAAAGCCTTTCATAGCAGACATCTGCAATTCTATTCTGTCTGGGACCCATTCCCCAATTTCTGGAAGGTGGTCTTCCATTTTATCTCAGGGGAACATCCCTTCTCCACTCTTAGTTCATGTGGTGCACACACAGCCCAGCTCAGGCAAGCTCACTTATTCTAAACCCTTGGTCTTCGTGAGTGGTGTAAGGTAGGGCTCCTTACCCAAGAGGGTGCCATGAGGATAAAGTCAGCAATGCTGAACTGGCTTCCTGCCAGGCTTGCTAAGCTAGTGGGGGCAGGTGAGGTGCTCTCTGTGAACAGAAGGTCCAGAGATTGAAGTCACCACTGAGGAAGGAGGGACTGACAGAAGGAGGAAGGCCATGTCCCAGGCACCTCCTTGGAACATCTGGGCACAACTGGGACAGGAGCCCTCATTTGTGGGAGCCAGTGAGTGCTTTACATTCCCATCTTTTTTTCTGAAACAGATTTGAGTTGCATTTTTGTTATGAGCCACTCTGGGTCACATGTACCTATTGACCTATGTGGAGACTCTCTTGTGCTCTGCATGGCTGTAGCCACAGCTCAGCAGTCAGAGAAACAGGCACTGGAGTTGGCCCTGGGCTCACATTGCAGCTCAGCCACGTGTGGGCTGCAGGACCTTGAGCAAATAATTTCTTTGGTTGATGGGAGGGTGAAGGGAGAGAATCCATGCTAAGCTCCTAGTAAAATGCTGCCATAGCAGCTCTGGGTGAATGTGGGCAGCTGCTGATAATGATGGTGATTAAAATAAGACCTATTTTAATGAAATGTAATTCCCATGGCAATGCTGTTGCCCCCTCCCCTATGGTAAAGTGTGTGTGTGTGTGTGTGTGTGTGTGTGTGTGTGTATGTGTGTGTGTGCGTGCGCGCATGCCTGCAGGGAAGGGGTCTTGGAATTGTGGCATCCACATTTCCAGAAGGAGCTTTCATAAGCCTAAGGCTGCAGTCCTTGTTTAGGGGTGGAAGGATGCCTCTAGTGGGTCCTATCTGAGTGACAACCACGGCTTTGGTAAGCAGCTGGGAAAGAAAAGCTCTATCTCTGTCCAGATGGTGTGCAGTATTCACGTGGTTTCAGATCCTGCAACCACTCTGTTCCATGCAGGGGTCAGCCTGTGGGTTAGAGAGATGTGCAGAGAGGGACCAAGCCCAGAACAGTCACAGAGAATCAAAGCCCTCTGGCTACACCTTTCCTTCCCTAAGCTGCTGGTGAATTAGCAGATCAAATTCCAGAAAGAATTCAGCCTTCAACTCTTGTTTCACTCATGTGTCCCCTGGCCGGGCAGCCTTGCTATAGTGCCTCTGTTTAATATTCCATTTGTAAGATGGACAGCACCAATCTATGTTCACTCAGGTGCTCATCAAGAGTAACAAGGTGAATGACAAAGGAGGTAAGGATGTCCTCGTCAAATGTCCCATGCTGTCACCTGCCAGAAAGCCCTCAGCAGTGTCTGAGATGGCTCCCCATGCAGGAATCTCTCTGAAGCGCTCTGCTATCTCCACAATTAAAACATAATCTCTGGCTCCAGAGAGCTCTGGGGCTCTGGCCCTTGTTCAGCCCATGCTCCTGGTCATCGTCAGCCCCAGGACTGAGGCTTGAACAGGCTCAGGGGCAGCTGTCTGTGAAAATCAGATTGATGCATCTGATTACATGGCCTGTTAACATCTGCAAAAAATAAGAAAAGAATTATTTACCTGTCGCAGCTTTGAGACACCATCACAAACTTGTCCTGACACCTCCTTTTTTCACCTTGGAGGGGTACAGAGTGAAGAGCAGAGCATGACACACTTAATAGATTGCTGGGCATTTATGGAGCTGCTTGTTACCCAGCTCAAGAGCCGTGTCCAACTGCTACAGCATTCATCAAAGGCAAGAAGCCACAAGGAGCAAGTCAGTGCTGCAGTTCATTAAGGCAACTTGACCTCTGGGGAGAGGAGAAAAAGGAGCTAGCAGTGTTGACTGCTTATGTTTCCTCAAGTGTGGTCTCATGACATAAAATGACATTGAATCACAGGGAGAGAAAGCCACACATTGTAGTCTCAAGCTCTTGTTTGGCCTTTGGAGACTACATAGAATGTCTCTGCTAGTGCTAGGTGAACTGAGACACCTAGAAAAGCCAGAAAGCCGTTGGCAGTGTCCGAGGGGTCTCCCCACGCAGGAATCTCTCTGAAGTGCTTTGTGATCTCTCCAACGAAAACATAATCTGTGGCCCCAAAGAGCTCTGGAGTGCTGATCCCCTGTTTGGCCCGTGTTCCTGGTCTTCGGCCCCAGGACTGAGGCTTGAGCAGGTTCAGGGGCAGCTGTCTATGAAAATCAGATTGATGCATCTGAGTACATGGCCTGTTAACATCTGCAAAAAATAAGATAAAATAAGAATTGTCTTTGACACCCTTTCCTAACACAGAGTGGGCCTTAGGATGGCAGCTTCTGCAGGTGACTGTGCTAAGAGGTTACTAACACTGTTTAAAGGTGTTTCATCCATTTAAAAAATAGACTTTAACTTTTAGAGCAGTTTTAGGTACACAGTAAAATGGAGTGGAAAGTGCAGAGATTTCTTATTTACCTTCTGCCCTCACTCACGCACAACCTCCACCATTATCACAGTTCCCCCCAGTGTGGTCCATTTGTTGTAATTGATGACCTGACATTGACATAGGGATGACATCTAGTTTGCATTAGGGCTCACTTTTGGTGTCGTACATTCTATGGGTTTGGACAAATGCAAAATCATCTATATCCCCTATTACAGGATCCTACAGCACAGTCTCACTGACCTAAAAATCCCCTGGGCTCTGCCCATTCATCCTTCCATCCCTCTAACCCCTGGCAACCACTGGCCTTTTTACTGTCCCCATAATTTTGCTATTTGCAAAATGTCATACAGTTGGAATCACACAATACGAAGACTCTTCATATTGGCTTCTTTCACCTAGCAATATGAGTGTCAGTCTTCCCCACTGTCTTATCATCATTTGATAGCTAATCTTTGTTTCATCTGTTTTTAAGGTTATGCACCAGTTAAGGGAAGTGGTATTAGTCTTTCATTTACAGAAGTGATATGTAGTTTTCATGTTCTTTGACTTGACAATTAACTTCCTTTTATAATTGTTTTGTTTATTTTTGGCCAGATAGGACACTCACTCCGCTCAACAATCAATGCAAATGAAAAGGTTTGTATTGAAAACTCTGCCTTCCACCTGTCTCCTGCCACTCGGCTCCTCCCCACACTATGTTACTGCTGACTTCTGTTCATCCTTCCAAAGAGTCTATGCAAACACAACCTGCTATAAATATATGTTCTCCCTCAACTGTTCTGTATCTTTTTTGGCATAAAAATATATTCTGGTGATCATTCCCTAACTGCATATTTCCTCATTCTTTTTTCTGCTGCACGGACTTCCATTTTATGGATGTACCGCAGTTCCTTCAACCATTCCCTACTAATGGACATTTAAGGTGCTTGTGGTCTTTGATGTTATAAACAGAGCAACTGGGAATAGCTTGTACTGATACACACATAGGAGCATACCTGGGAAGTGGCGTTGCTAAGAGAACATTAACTTCTAATTTTGGCAGACATTGTCAGATTGCTCTCCCTAAGGGAGTCATAGTTTTTAAAAATGGTCTTATTATTTACAGATCAACAGAGATGATATGAGTCAGCAGTGGTGCAGGTGATCTGTGCAGTGCGGTGCGGTGCTGGGGATGGGTCAAAGCTGTGATGCAGGGGGCATGCAACTGGCTCACCATGGCATGCAACCAGCTCACCATGGCATGCAATTGGCTCACCATGGCATGCAACCGGCTCACCATGGCATGCAACCGACTCACCATGGCATGCAACCGGCTCACCATGAGGGGCCAATCACAAAAGCAGAAACCTCGCCAAGCTGATATCTTTCTAGAAAGGTAACAAAGATAAACTGCAGATTTTTAATCTTTAAATGGACTGGTAGAAGTGGAAAGGAAGGGTATCTATGTCTAGACTCCAGGAGAGATGACAGATGCCCTCATTTGCCCCAAAATTGCTTGGTGCATGGGGGTGGGGCTGCAGTAGTGCCTTGGGTGCGGCATCTTTCACTGCTTAATAAATGTAAGTGGATACTAGGTGCTCAGGTGGGGCTGGTCATGTCTCCAGGGGACTTCTGTTTCCTGCTTGTCTTGTTGGAGGCTGGCCACTTTGTTTGCTTTGATTCCATGGGATTCCTGATATGAAGCTCCTTCTTGAGCCCATGTGAGAGGGCTTCCTCCATTCTAAAGATCAGCCCACCCTGACACACTCATTGTTTCTCCCCAGGTGGAAGCACCCTCAGTGGGTGATGCTAGATATACCTGCCCATGGCTTCCACTTCTACTGGTCCCATTTTAAAAATTAAAAGTCTGAGGTTTGTCTTCATTATCTTTCTAGAAAGAAACCAGCTTGGCAAAGTTCCTGCTTTTGTGACTATCTCCTAATGGTGAGTATTGAAAACTTCTTCTTATAGTCACAGGGGTGAAAAGGAACTTTTCATTCAAAAATTACAACACAGATTTATGTTGAAAATAATGAGAACTTTGTTGGTGCCCTGGAAAAGTATGTGAGAGAAGCGGAGAGCGATTCCTTTTATTGGGCCAGAGTGTAAAAGTTAGCTCACTGGTCTCAAGGGAAGAAAAAGGTTTTTCTTCAGTTGGCAATTTGTTTTCAACAAAGGATTTGGAATGCCTTTTTCTTTCCTCTTCTTTTTAATAAAGGAAGGATATAGTTAGTTGACCAGGAATTAGCTAGGGATTAAGAGTCGGTTGGTTTGGCAATATTTCTACCTGCTTGCTGTGCATATGCTAGAATTAACAACGGTCAATAATCAAAAGGGCATTAGTATGTGAGGTGGGCTGTGCGGGGACCGCCCCGAGTCTACTTCTCTGCAGTATTGAGCCCTGGGGCCTCGCTTCGCCTCACTGCAATTCTGCGTTTTTTAATTCATTATTTCCAGGATCTGGGGGTTTCTTCAAGCTCCCAGGCTTGCTCAGACACATTGCAAATGGCCATGATTTGAGATGATTTTCTTAACGCTGAAGCAGATGAAGAACCCAGGTTCTTTATAGTGGCAAGGCTTGTTTCTCAGCAGCTGTACAGCTATGGGCAGAGACACAGGTAAACAGCACTGATGCCAGGAGAGGGATGGCATCCAGACTCAGGAGAAGGCTAGCATCTGACTGTGACCATCACCCCCACGTGACAAAAGATGTAACCACAGTGAACAGTTCTGACCACCGTGGCTTTTCACCTTCTTGGTTAAATTTAACTCACAGACTCATTGGACTATTTGATTAATTCTGTATCTCAGCAGAAACCAAGGCACCTCAGAAGATCAAGGCTTCTAAATTCTCCTGGGGGAACAGACGTCAGCCACTCCGCACAAAGGAAACTTCCTTTTCTGTGTCAGAGGAAGACATAATTGTGCCATTTGCTTCTTGAAGAAGTTTACAAACATTTGCAAGTTGTCAAAAATAATTAGTCTAAAATTGTTTCATAAACCATGGAATGAAACAGTCCGTGCCTTGTTGAGATCAAAGGGCTTCTGTTACCTTCTTGTAAATCCAAATGAAATTCTTTTGAAAGTAAACTCTTGGAATTAGCAGTGGTTTTTGTGGCACATCTATGGCAGGGGGAGGGGAGCAGAAGGATTCAGATGGCAGAGTCCAGTGGAGACCCGGGAGGAGTGAAGCTCTGTCCACAGAGAATGGAATGGGTCTGAACAGTCATGGCGATCTGCGTCAGTGGGTGCGGGACTGGGACTTCTTCAACAGGAAGCACTCCAGGAAACACTAGTTTTGGTGATTTGAACTTGCAAGGCTGAGAGTGGGCAGGTACACTCACAGTTCTATAAACAAAGTAAAACCTGGGGCTTGTGAGTCAGTCGGACCGAGTTTCCATTCCAGCACAGCTTCCTACAGGCAGACCCTGGGGAAGCCACTTCCCCTCTGCATCTCAGGCCTCCCTCCTCGGTGAGAGGTAAGTGATGTGTTGCCTTGGAGGACTCAGTTCAGTGCCCGGCCACGAATAAGCTCTGGGGAATGGCCGCTCTGATACACGACTGTTCCTCATTATTAGTGACGGAAACAAGCAGGTATTACCACGGGCTTCATCAGTGGCAGATGCTAGAGGGGGCCTGGGACCTCGTTGAGGAATAGGGAGGTGTACTTCTTCTCCCTCAGGGGAGGTTGGATAGGAGTCCAGCTCCTAACATAACTGCAGAATGCAGCTGCTGTGTGACCAGGTCCTGCGTGCATGGTCCCCCTAGAACTGAGCCTTGCAGTGGCCTGGTGAGTAAGCGGGAGGGCACGAGAGAGGCGGTGGTGAGAATTCAGGAGCCTGAGGGGGGCTTCTGTGAGCCCTGCTTGAAGGCTCAGTAGGGGAGAAGGAGTGGGATGATATAGAGCTGCTTGTCGAGAGGAAGCAGACATAACAGTGCTAAACAGCTGGAGTTTTCTCCCTTTCTCTGTGTGTATATCTGCACGTCCTGGCCTTCCAGGGAGGAGAGAGAGGACAAGCAGGGGTGAGAGGAGAGAATGAGGCTCGACTGTCAGGTTCTCCCCTGGAGACCCTCAGGCTAGCAGGCTGCAGGCCTGAAGTTGGCCCGAGGTCCTGGCTGCAGGACATGCCATGCAGAGGAGAGCAGGTGGGGCTGTGTGCGCTGCTGTGCAGGGGCCCTCAGAGAGGTGCCTGGGAGACGGAAGCAGCCTGCACAGCTCTCAGGTTGCAAGGACCCTGCTGAGAAGGGAAAGGTGGCCCCTGGACATGGCCTCCTGCACATAATGGCCTGCTCTCCTCACACTGCACTGCTCTGTCTGCTGGAGTCATGGCTCAATGAGTGGGGGCCAGGGATGAACATTTCTGACCCTGTAAATCACACATTTGCTGTCATGTGGTGCAAGATGTATCCTTTTTATACAGAGTCTATCCCTTTCTCAATTAAACAATAATACTTTCTACTAGATGTAGACAAACTCCATCTGCTGATTATCAGATATTTACAGAACACTTACTTTGTGTTGGGTCCTCTATGAGGTGCAGAGAGGATAGTAGTGAGGAAGCCGAGTCTCTGCTGCCCTCAAGGGGCTCACAGTGCAAACTCCAGCTTGTAGGCCAAATCTGGCCCACCGCCTCGTACTGTAAATAAAGTTTTATTGGCACATGGCCACACCCACTTGCTTATGTCTTCTCCGTGGCAGCTTTCAGGCTGAGTTGGGCAGGTCTGACATTGATCATCCGGCCCACAAAGCCAGAAACAATTACTCTCTAGTCCTTTACAGAAAAGGTTCGTGGGCCCCTGGTCTAAATCTGCCCTATCCAAAAGAAATAAAAGTGACTTATGTGTTTAAGTTAATGTTTTCTAGTAGTCACATTAAAAGAGGTAAAAGGAAACCAGTAATACTAGTATCATTAGTATTTATGTAACCCGATATGTCCAAAATATTGTTATTTCAACATGTCAGTAATGTAAGAATATAAATGAATTATTTTACTATTTTTTTAAAGTCTTAGAAATCTGATGTGCATTTTACACTTAAAGTCGATTTCAGTTGGGATAAGTCCCATTTCAAGAATGCAGTGGCACGTGTGGTGGGCTTCTGCCAGGGCAGCTCCCAGGAGGGCCATTATATAAAGCACTGCACACAAGAGACACCAAGTGAGGAACCCAGATACATACTGAGAGCCTGACGTGTTCCAGGCACTGAGCTCTCATCTCCCTGGAATCCGTGGAGTAGGATGAGTGTCCTCTTGATTTTCTCATGAGGAAACAGAGGCATAAAGAGGTTGAAGAGCCTGTCCCAAGAGAAGCAGGCACCAGCTGGGGGGGCACAGGAAGGGAGCTGGGACTGAGCTGGAGGAGGTGGGGAGGCCTCCGGGAAGTGGCATCATTCTTTCTGGCCATAAAACATCCGGCCTGGGCTTCCTTCTTGAAGTTGTAGGTCCTGAAGCATTTTCACTGTGCATAGAGATCATCTGAAAAATGAAAATAAAAAGCAAATTGCATCCACGGTGTGCCTTCATGCACTCAGCATTGTTTTACGGCAGGGAGGAAACCGGCTGCGACCTCTTCACGTCCCCTCACAGATGCTGCAGGTGGCTTAACCAGCAGAATGGAGTGGCTCTTCAAGCCACTAAACCAGCCACTGCTGGCATTAAAGGAAGATATTTCGATGGATTGAAAGCATTTTCTAAATCACTAAGGTTTGCTTTTCACGTGGGAGAAAGCTTACTCCCAATTGCTTCAAACCATTAATATGCTGGGAAAAAACGTGTGTGAACCACCGTAGCAGTCACGTCGTACTTTCACCATTCCTCTGTCTGACAATCGGCGTGAGTTAGTCCTCATCAAATAATGCATGTGGTTGCCGGATCCACCCATGGATAGCACTGTCCCTGAACCGGGAGCTGGATGCGTCGGTCTGGTCTGAGTGGGCTGCACAGCCCTGCGCTCAGAAGGGCCCTGCACTCCACTGAATGCTCTGCAGTCCTGACCTGAGATGCTCAGCACCTTTTCAACAAGGACCCACATTTTCATTCTGCTCTGGGATGGCAAATTCTGCAGCAGGTCCTGCCTCCAGTCTGTCCCGCTGCCCCTCACTGGTGGGGTCACTTTGGGCGCTGCGTCCAGCTTGTCATGGCTCAGATGGGAACCACATAGTGCTGAGTGTCGTGAGCACCTGTGTAACAGACACAAAGGGCTTGGTGTGGTCCTCAGTGCGGAGCAAATGGTAGGGGGAAGTGGTGAGGGCATGAGGACACACGGTCCCCATTTGAGTGTGGCACTGAAGGGGCAGCTGGGCTGAGATGCTGTGTTAGTCTGTTTTTCATGGCTATAAAGGCAAACCTGAGACATTGTCATTTATAAAGAGAAGAGGTTTATTTGGCTTATAGTTCTACAGGCTGTATGGGAAGCATGGCGCCAGCATTTGCTTCTGGCAAGGCCTTCGGAAGCTTCACAGTTTAGGAAATAATCACGGTGGAAGAAGAAGGGGAGCAGGAGAGAGAGGAGGAGGTGCAGGCTCCTTGAAACAAACAGCTCTTACTCACGTGAACTAACAGAGTGAGAACTCATTCATTACCGTGAGGAGGTCACCAAACCATTCCATGAGGGATCTGCCATCCTGACCCAAGCACCTCCCACCAGGCCCCACCTCCAACCCTGGTATCACGTTTCAACGTGAGATTTGGAGGGGACGCACATCCAAACCATGTCAGACGGGCTCCCCACACCAGACTCCTCACCAGCCCAAACCAGGCCCCGGCTCAGCCAGGCTGACTCTCCCTCTGACCCTGAAGGAGTCTGCCTGCTTTACCCACTCCTGCATCCAGAATGCCACTGCCGCCTCTGTCCTCTGCCTGGGGCTTTCTCAGGGTCTCTACCTCACTGGAAACATTTGCATAACACATGAGCTCCTTTGTTGGGCAAATGTGATCACAAACTCCTTGGGGCTTAAAATTTCCAGGAAATTTAAGTTTTCCTCAAGAGAAATGACAACTTTTATTTATTTATTTATTTATTTTTTGTGGGGAAACCTCTCTCTGTCACCGGACTGGTGTGCAGTGGGGTGAGCCCTGCTCACGGCAACCTTCACTTTCCGGTTCAAGCGATTTCCCCGCCTTGGCCTCCTGAGTGAGAGAAATGGCAACTTTTAAACACCATATGTGAAGCCCAACCCGAGGTGTCTCCTCCACACTCGCCTCTCTCTCCCTAACTCTGTGTTCCAGACGACCTGGGTTTCCTTTCGTTGCTCTAAGTCTCATTACTTTTCTTGCCCAGGGCCTTCATGCATGTCTGTCTCATGACTCATACTTCATCTAAGGCTTCTTCTGAAACTGCACCCTTTTCAGAAATGTTTGTCTCAGAAGCTGCATTTAGCCTCGGACACACAGCCACAACCCTCTGCATCTTTCTCTCCACCACCCCTCATATCTGTCTTCCTTACTGGGTTCCAGGAAGACAGAGCCATGGGCTGAACCCTCAAATGCTGCTTCCTCAGTGCTTAGCACGTAATAGCTGCTCAATGAATATTTATTTCCTCACTGAGAAATGATGGCTTGAGAGTTCAATAAGTGTAGGAGCTACCCACTATGTCATTTTCTTTTTTAAGAGAGAGTCTTGCTCTGTTGCCCAGACTGGAGTACAGTGGCCTGATCATAACTCACTGCAACCTCAACCTCCTGGACTCAATCGATCATCCCACCTCAGCCTCCCAGGCAGCTGGGTCTACAGTGTCTCAGCATGTTGCCCAAGGTGGTGTTTAACTGGCTTCACGCAATCTTGCCTGTCTTGCTTTCCCACAGTTTCGGGACTATAAGCATGATCCACCGTGCTTAGCTAATGCACCATATTTTCTAAACATTAAATTTTCAGTTAAAAGCCATATTCAAGACATGCTCTGAGGCTGGACATGGTGGTTCATGCCTGTAATCTCAGCACTTTGGGAGGCCAAGGTGGGTGGATCACTTGAGGTCAGGAGTTTGAGGCCAGCCTGGCCAACATGGTGAAACCTCGTTTCTACTAAAAATACAAAAATTAGCTGGCTGTAGTGGTGCGCCTGTAATCCCAACTACTCAGGAGGCGGAGGCAGGAGAATTTCTTGAAGC